TGTTTTCTGGAACTACATGCTAATATTTTTTGTGCTAAGAGAAGATAATGAAGGGATTTGCCCTAGCAAAGAGGTCATGGTTGGAGCTGTCAAAAACGGGTCACGGGTCGGGTTTGGGTCCAACTCGAAATTGACCCGACACTGTTCAACCCGATCCGAACCGACCCGTTTTTGCAAACGGGTCGGCTTTTCGAACCCGAACCCGACCCGCTTCGGGTCCGAGTCAACCCGATTCAGGTATATTTTATTAAATTTTTTTATTTAATTCAATTCATTTAAATTTAAATCATATTAAGGTAAGATTTACTTCAATTAATTTAAAATAAATCAAGATTAATTTAATTTGGACAATAATGTTTATAATTTTTTGAAATATCATTTACTTATTTCATAAAAATCCATTAAAACCCTCCTAAATTAATTAAAAAAGGGTCAAATCGGGTTGATTTCGGGTTTCCGGGTCAACCCGAACCCAACCCGGTTTTACAAACGGGTCGAAATCCCTAACCCGAACCCGACCCGGTTCAGGTTCGGGTTGACCCGAACCCTAAATTTTCGGGTCCGATTTTCGGGTTGGGTCAAATATTGACACCCCTATCTATGACTGAGCTAATCATTATTTTACATATAAAAATATTAACATATTATTAAACGACATCATGCAAATAATTATTATCATTTAATTCCTAATAAGCATCACATCAGTACTAATGGGATTAACATGCAATAACTCAAAATTTCAAAATGAATTACTTTGAAAATATGAAAAACTTTGAACGGTAGGAAGTACATCAATGGAGAGAGAGAGAGAAAGAGGGGAAAGAGATTGCTATTTAGGTCATTTTCATCCATTGAATTTGTTACAAAATTTCTTTTAATCATGATAGGTAATCTTAAACTTATCTATGTTTTTGATGATTTCGAGTTATGTCTGTTTTCTCTCTCCAAAATTTAATAAAATGCAATGCCTCACGTTTCAATGAACTTTCACCGTATAATTTTGATATGTGATTGATATATTCACCAAAAATTGTTTTGATCAAGCACGAATCTCAAGGCAAAATCGAATCGAAAACTTCAAAAATTAAATTCGGGAGCATCTGAACTCCGATTTCAGCGAGCTTATAGTCAAATTGAGCGTTTCGGAAATACGAACCCAACGACACCAAATTCAACTCAATCCGAGCCCAAATCAAGCGGCCAAAGTGATGTTGGAAAGCTCGTACCACAATTTGAGTTACCAAACGGTCTCCGATTTTAACGATCTTATAGTCGAATCGAACGGCTCGACGAGACGAATCCAACAAGCCCAAGATTTCCGAATTCTGACATTACTAAGGCCTTCAAATGTCCAACGAACGATGCACAATCGAAGGATTTAATATCAGCCGTCCATTCGGCCACTCCCTATGTGCCCCTGATCTCACACCTATTTACGAGCTATGCCACTCCAGAAAAACACCCCCAAAAAAAATATAAATAGGTGCCTTATTTTTCAGGGGGGGGGGGGGGGGACCTAAGAAGAGAAGAAGAAGAGAAGAGAAGGAGAGGAGAGAACAGCTCCTCCTCGACCACCGCCGGAGTTCTTCCCGTCGTCAGAACGACGCCAGAATTCCACCAGATGCCCGAGTGACGCCGGAACTCTGCTCGACTTTGTAACTGAATTTCAATTCAGAAGAAACTCATTGTAATCTGATCGTCATAACTTGTTGGACGAATCAACATCTTGTATCTCAAACTACACTAGTGGAACTTTTCAATTGGGCGTTGCCCCGTGATTTTTTCCCTTTCAGGATTTTCCACATAAAAATGCTGGTGTTCTTTTATCTTCTATTTGTGTGTGCTAGATATTCGTACAACGCTCAGATGAAAATTTTCTAACTCTACCGCCGCGTATATTCTAGCACGCAACAGTGATAGATATTTCCACTCTAAACATTCTGACATATTTATATTTAAATTTCACTAGTTAGTTTTGTATATATGTCGTTTTATTTGAAATGAGTAGAGTAATATCAAATACAAAATAATCAAGAGTCAGTATATTATACTTGGACATGAGATACATTAAATGCATAAATTTAGTATTTATCTGATCTAACATGTATCTTGGCATCATGCATGCAAATTGATGAGTACATTAGGTACTATGATAATTGTATAAGATATATGTATGATGACTATTATTATTTGATATACATGATATGAAATGTGTATGAATGTAAGAAAAGACTAATTAGAAATGGACTAATTAAAATTTGAAAGAGATATGTTTGCTATTTTGATATAACCTAACTGACCTCATGCGTGTTGTTTCTATTGCCTTGCACTGATTAGAGTTATAGGTTCTGATAATTTACCGAGTTATTAGCTCACAATGTAATTTTATATGTTTTTTAGGAAGAGTTAAGGTCTAATTGAGTGAGACTAGTCAGGATCGTTAAGTTTTTTTTTTATATATATATTTGGTTTTATTTTATTTGTAATTGAGAGTGGTTAATGATAAATTGATGGTATAAATTGAACTCCTGCTTATTATACAAATTTTTTTAGAAATGAATATGAAATTGTAAATTGATGTATGTGACTTGATGCATATGATTTATAATTATTTTCGTTGAATATATTTATGATAGCGAATTATTAGAGGCTATAGCAGACTAATTAAGAAATAAAATAAATGATTCTTTCAAATTTAGATATTGGGCATTACATAACATCTCATCACCCTCGTTTAAGAATAAACAGAAGCATTGATAATTTTCAGATGAAAAATGAAAACTTATATTGTGACAATATTATCAAAATACAATCCAAAATATATTACAACAACATCAAGTCTTTATACAACTGTGACCTATTAGAGTCAAATTCTCATTTAAATCTAATAAAAAAAAATGAAATTTCTAATATTTTCTAACCAATTCTTTTTTGGCCTGCCTCCACGTTTTCTTAACATAGCATCTACTTTACTAATCGGGTCATCGGAAGGCCAATGTTGTATGTGACTAAACCATAAATGGGACTCTCTCTAAGATTATTTCCTCTAAGGCTACTCCAACTTTTTTACTCGCATGCTTGTTTCACATTTTGTCACTAAGCATAAAGCCACTAATCCACCTAAGCATCCTCTTCTCTGCAACACTTAAGTTTATCGTCATAAAATATTGCAGGTCTCATGACAATCATATAGATTTTTTTTTTCTTCAAGTTTGAAGAGTGTTTTTCTATCACACAACAAACCTAACACATTACTCTGCCTCAATCATCTAATTTGAATTCTACTAATAATATGCTTATTTATATTATTATGATAGACTGAAGATATCTAAAATATATTAAAATATAAGTATTAAGGTTTAATAATTAAAATATCTTATAAAACATTTTGAATATATAATAGAATTTTGTCAATTAACATAAATTTTTTGTGAGTTATGGAATATAATAATATTATTAATAAATTATTAATAATAAACGAAAAAATAGCTTATAAAAAAGGGAGGCAAAGGAGGTTTATACCGACTAGCATGGCGAAAGAGGGGTATGGAACGGCCGGGGGCAAAGCTGCGGCTGCGGCGGCGGCTTGTAACCCTAACTGGGCCAGTCTTCAGGAGAAGCTGAAAGGCCGCAAACCATTGGTAAGCTTGGCAAGTCTCGACAATGGAACCCGAGCGACTTCCGCTCTCGGTAAGCGTAAGGAGAGGCCGGACACCGTGCCGGCGGCACCTCTGTCCACTCCTTCAATCCTTGCGCCCACCTCCGAAGACTTCAGGTTCTCTCTCTCTCTCTCGCTAGCTCGCTCTCTCTCTACATTTCTGTCTGTGTGTCTGTTGGTTTGAAAGCTTGCGTCTTTGGGTTCTTCGCTTGGGCAGCCTGACAGAAGCTTTGGCTATGGACTGCGAGATGGTCGGTGTAAGTTTTCAAGGGAACAAAAGCGCGCTTGGGAGGGTCTCGCTGGTAATTCCTTCTTCCTCTTCTTGAGTTCCTTCCATCCATTTCAGTGACATCTGTTAACGAATGCTTAGTTCTTTGAAATTTGGGGCAAGAAAAGGGAAGATCACCAGTAGACGCTTGGTATTATCCAGTTTTTTAGATAATAGTTTTTTAAATGATATTGCAGTCCTATTTCATGATATCCAGATTTTGTCCAATGGTACTGACATTCAATCTATCTGTTTGTCTAAAAAATCATCAAGAAATGAAAAAGCAATCTTTGCTGACCTTTTTAAGTTAATACTTATTGTTTAAGCAATAGAATGGAACCAAAAAGACCTATTGAAGAGGTGACATTCTTGTAAGACTTTGAAATTGTTGTCTATATAACAATGCACTGAATAGCCTATTTCTCCTTTGCCATGAAATAATTCCTCATTTAAGCACTCATTGTCTTGTCAATTTTAAGTCATATCCCTTTAATATCCATGTTCAGCTTGTTTGCATGGCTCACTTATTCTTGTTCACTGTAGTTTTGTCTCCTTCTCTTATCTCCTTTAGCTTCTTTTTGATTGCTTGGATTTTATGATATATAAGCCCAAATATAATAGATACCCTTTGTAGTTTTGTTAGATTGCATAAGAAGGGTTTCATTCTAGGCCTAACAAAGTTGAAATGTTAGTTGAGCAAGATTACTGATGTAGTGATGTATAATCAAGGTTGGGCTGTACCATTTTGTTTTGGAAGATATCAAATATGATTATATCTATTTCAAGGGCCATTAAAATTTATGCAATAAGAAGCCTTCAAACATGCCAAACAATCCACAAAAGCTCAACTGTCCATAAGCTAGTTAGAAGAAATCAAATCAATCTATAACAAATTTGAACCGGGCCTATTTTCATAAATTTTAAGCTTATTTCTATTCATGATGCAATTTTTTTATTTGAATTATCTTATTAGGTTTTATTTTTCCATGGATAAGTATAGGCTTAATTTAAATATGTGTTAATATTGGATATGATTGTATCTATTTCAAATGTTTCATTTTATTCCTGTAACTATATTTCTATATATGAGAATCCATGATGTGCAATTGAACATTCTTGATTGACAATTGAAGGAAGTATGGATGCAAATTTTTTGTGACTAATTGAGTGTTTTCTAGATCCAAGTTGTGTATGAGTTATTTCTTTTTACCCCTCTTTCATAAATATTGTTATTTCTTTCAGTCTTTAAAGAGAGGATGGATAACAAAATATGACACGTAAATATAAATATTATGTGGATTTGAACTTAGCGTTTTGTCAGTTGTTCAGTTGATTTCCCTTAAATTAATCTCTCTAAAAAACACTATTTTGTTTAAGCAAGATAACAATAAAATATACATGTATTTCAAAGTTGGCATTGTCATCTCAATAAAACTTTTATCTAGTTAACGCCATTATATGAATGACATTGAACCTAATAGCCTTTCATTTTTCATGAAATAATTCCTCACTTAGACATTCAATTTACAACCTAAAGAATATCCTATCAAAGCGTGACATGTAAGATATTTGATTTGTGAAAATCAAATGGATTTGCTTGCTGATTTTAAATGTTTCCAACTTGTTGTAAGACTTGTATATTTTCAATAATTTATTACCATTGTCTTAAACTCTATTATCATTTTTTTAAAGAAAGCGAGTTGAATTCATGTCATGATTGTTGGACAAACTTTATATTGCATGTCAACTACTTAATGCAATCCTCCAGTTTTTTTATCCAAGGCTTGGTGGTCAGCAACGACAATGTTAAAAATGACATTTGTTTTATTAGATGTAAATGAAAATTTAACTCTTAATAAAACACACCGGAGAAAAATGATTCATGTAGCCTACACCACCTAGTGGGTGTTGACCTCCTTTCTAGCATGGGTCGCTTGCATGGCCTTATCACTCAAATTTTATAGGTATATACACTTGTTTGTATGTTGCATTACTTTGTGTTCAATGAAAGATCAAATCGTGCATTTTTACTTCAATTCATCGTCGGCTTTGGAATTTATTCTTTGAGATCACACATTGCCCGTAATCATATCTTAAAACATGTGTGCTTGGGCCAACGATGATTTGACGTATATTTTGCGTGTATTTGAGTCTTTATCGCGCATATTTGTTTCGTGTATGATATCTTTTAATCGAGACCTCATATTACGAAACGAACTGTCGAGCACGTTTGGGTCTCCGAAATCTTTCAAACGAGCTTATTCGCGCTTGAATTCGGTACATTTGAGTCATGTCGAGGAGAGAGATTAAGATCTTTATTTCTATTATTATTTTTATCATTATTTTCAAATATATATAATATAAAATATTTTTTTTATTGATTAAATAAATATAATATAGTATATTTTAATTAAAATATGAATACAAAATTAATAAACTTATATAATAAAATAAAAAATATATAATAATGTCTCATTGAAATTATTATTATTATTTATATATTTAGTTTAAATCAAGGTTTAAAATTGCGTAATTAAGCCTCGATGAGGTTTTCGTCCGTGAGGCGAGGCGTAAGCCTCGAGGCGGTGAGAGGCGTAAGCCTCACGGACGCAAAATTGCGTAAATGAGAATTTAAGGGTTTTAGCAGGTAAATAATAGCAAGATTTTATCATACAATAAAAACATCTAAATGACAAGTAGAATTAGTGAAAATTAAGAAAATAGATGCAATAAAAGCATGTTCCAAAGTACAAAACCATAAAATTATAGTCTATCAGAACTCCCAAAGTACAAAGAACATATAAAATCCAATCATATCCCATCACTAAATTGGTCTTCAAGGGAATCTTCTTCTCCAATTGTATATATAAATGTCATATATTCATCATCTTCAATGTGACTCATTTTTCTCTTCCCTGTTCAATAAGAATGATCATTAATTATTATCATGTTAATTGCTCACTTGATATAAATATAATGCAATAGCATATAAGAAGTTGTAGAATACCTTTATTTGATTGTTGTGCTGCAGAGCTAGTGTATGTGTGTGGTGTGGTACTAGTAGATGTGTTAACTTGATCTACTTCGCCCCTCAAGACATCCACACTTAGATCCTCTAGCTGTAAGTCTGATAATGACAAATCTGTCTCATCATTTATGACCCACTCATTATCAGATGACACATCATCACATACCAACGGGTCCTCATCATCCTTCAACCCCTTATTCCTCAACCTCCTATCTCTTAACCTCTTGTTGTGCATAATATATACGAGGGAGTTCATTCTGAGTGTTGATAGTCGATTTCTTCTCTTTATTTGCACTTGACTACATGTACTCCAGTTTCGCTCACACCTAAAAGAAGAAGAACAAGTGAGGCTCAAAACTCTTACAGTAAAACTCTGTAACTCAGGGGTGGAATCACCAAATTGGATCCACCATTCAACTATTTTTAAGAAGAAAAAAGATAATCATAACTAAATAAAATATCTTGCATTTACCAAAATAACTATACCTGGAGACCGTTTGGCAATGGTTGATTTTGCTGCATTCAGATAAAAAAATCCTCTTTATTCTGAAATAGAACAAGTTGTAAATCTGCAAGCTCCCTATCTATCTGCTCCGATATTAGTCGTTCCATGCAATGATACAGACCAAGCTTCACCTCCGGGTTTGAAGATTTCTTCTCTTAATATTGAAATTGAGGATTGAGATAATATGCTGCATGTAGATGACGGTGTAACTGTACCTCCCACCGAGCATCTATGATATCCCAAATCTCTGTATAACTTGCCTCCTCTCATTTCAAGTTGTGTGCAATCAACTCCTTGGCCTCATCCATAGCATTATAAATAAAACCCATGGCTGGTTTCTTCTCGGCATCCACTAAGCGTAATACTTGCACTAAGGTTCTCGTGCTCAATATGGCATAGGTCACAGTAGCCCAAAATTTATCATTCAGAATTATCTTTCTTATTTCCTTCCCCTCACTTTTCTTACCCCACACAGAGTTAAGCCATTCTGTTGATGTAAACATTGCTTCCAGAGGTTGTCTCACATCCAACTAGCTCTATAGTGTCAAATAAGATATGACAAACCTGTAGATTTTTAACCTCATCTGAAGCTTCAACTGATCGTAAAAATACTGTGCTGTAGGAATTGTTGACAATGATGTTAATTAAGCTCCTGCTCTTCATGTCAGACCATCCATCTGACATAATGGTAACACCAGTCTCAATCCATGTCCGTTTAATCTCATCAATGCTCCGCTCTGTATTCTGTAGCTCCTTCAAAATCCATGTTCGCAACTCGTACATTGATGGTGCCTTCAACCCTCTCCCATACAACCCTACAGACCGCAGCATATTGAAGTTGGCAGGCGATGTCGCAACATTAAATGATATGACATTCTCAAAAAAAAAAACTCTCAATATCCATGCAAACCTGTCGTCGACCCTCTCTGGTGCCAGCCGCAGGCATCATCTCTGCTTGTTCTCTATCCTCTCCTGGGTTAGTCAGATATTGATCTATAGGACCCCGTGCACCTCTATTATGTATAGTAGAGGAATAGCCATTTCCACTCTCGCTTCCGAAGTAAGCACCATGTTCAACCCTTTCATCAAATTGCTCATGTTGTAAGTGTTTTGCCTTGGTAGTTTTCTTCATGTAAGCAATTATTTCATCCTTCACATTGTCCGGCACTTTTGCACACGGTGCTATGTTCTTATGAGAGCATGATAAGTGTTCCTTCATGCGGGTTATTTTCCCTTCATCACTTTCTTACAAAAATTGCATTTTAAATACACATACGTCTTCTCGCCGCCTCCTACGTCAACTTGCACACTATATTTCCAAGAAGGGTCACGCCGCAATGACGTATTCACCTTTTCTTTGCCTCTAACCATGTTTTCTAATGCAAAAATCCAAAAACACACAAAAAATAAAAAATCCTAGATTTTCTTTCACTTGAAAAATCTAACCATAAACTAAAAAAAATACCTAAAATTGATTGTGGAGTACTCCTAGAGCTGAATT